ACTGCATTAGGCCAAGCAACAGCAGCGGAACCGCAACCGCTCGGCGTTGCTTAGTATACCGCAGCGTCACGAACGCACGATTCTTACAGTTACCAGTCAAAATTCTAACTTCTTCAGTTCCATCTCATGGGGCGAGTGCTAATGAAACCAGCACCTTTTAAAGACTCCGGTGCGGACAGAGCCACCTGCGCTGCTTGCTCGTCACAAGCCTCACAATCCACCAGCAGCAGCGGCGGCGGCGACGGCGCCGGAAGCAGCAATAGCAGCAGCACCAGCAGCAGCAGCACCAGCAACAGCAGCAGCAGCAGCAGCGGCAGCAGCAGCATGGCTGTGTGCACATGCCCCCCAGAAACCACCGCAGCTATTCCGAAGCGTAAGACGGGCCGTCTGGTTTCCGCCATCTCCCGCTTTTTTCAGAAAGCCAACGAGACTGCCGCCTCAGCGACGGATGCAGCGATATCTCCTGGTATGGCTTCCGCCGCAGTGGCACCGGCGGAACTTCCGCAGCGCCAGCTCTCCGCGGACTTTGTCATAGAGAGGGTGGTTGCGGCGGGCAAGGCGACCCGTTGCGACGGCGCTCACCAAGCCGCGGACGAAGAGCACGTCAGACGACACGTCAGCTCGCTGCCGGCGCGGTATGTTGCAGCCGGCTACTCGCCGGCGACCGTCAGGAGCCATATGGCGCTGCTGGAGGAAGCCGCTTCGTTGCGCGATGGCGTTCCGGCGATCAGACTAGACGTGAGGAACGGCTGCTCGAGCAGCGCCGGTAGCACGCAGCATGACGCGGTTTCTGTCGCAGCCATCGGCGCGACGGGCTATTGCGACTCCGACGACGATTGCGACTCGTCGCTCGATGGCTTGTCGCTGGGATCGTTCGACGACTCGCTCTCAGTAAGTCGCACGGAGATCACGTTCGCATGCAGCTCGCACGTGTGCGCGGACGCGCTCTCGTCCGCGCTCCATCGCGCGGGGATGCGCACATACGGCATGACGACGTACGACACTAAGAACGGCTTTACTCTCGGGCACTTCATGTTGCGAGCATCCATCGCGCAGTTCTCCATGCGCGAGCTCGAGGACGTGTTCGCCGCCGCGTGCAAGCGCCAATTCCCGCGCGGATCCCTCCCCGGCTCCGCGCCCCGCGCGCTGCAAGCGCTCCCGGAGGTGCTGGGGGAGAAGCTGACGCACCTGGTGGGGAAAATGAGTCCGCGCCATCACATGAGCCACCACCATCACCACCACCACCACCACCCCCACCACCACAATCATGGGAGTGGATCGTGGAATCTGGGTAGCATCAGCCCACGTCGGGCGTTTCCGCATCATTCCGGCGTCGCGGCGGCGGCGAGCTCGGTGCCTGCGTCGGCGGCCTTGGCGGCGTCGCCGGCGTCGCGATTCGCGGCGGCGGCGGGCGCGGGCGCGGGCGCCAGCCCGCTCTCCTCTTCACCCGACGGCAACGGGCTCCTGCACGTGCTGCTATCGGAGCGCGGCGCGATGAAGAAGAAGCTCGGCGCGCTTATCATGGACCCGATGAAGCTCGAAATCGGGCCGCTCATCGCGGTGGGCGCGTCGGGAGAGGTGCGCAAGGGCGCGTACGAGGGCGAGGAAGTCGCGGTGAAGATCCTAAAGGGCGAAGGAAAAGACGTTCACTCCATGGTCGCGGAGTTCCGACGGGAAGTTGTGACGCTGATGGCGTGCGGGGAGTGCCCGCAACTGCTCAAGTTCCTCGGCGTGTGCGTGGACGTACGCGGGCGCATGTGCATAGTGACCAAGTACATGGAAGGCGGCACGCTCAGCGACATACTCCGCCGGCGACAGCCGCTACAGCCGCTACAGCAGCAGCAGCAGCAGCAGCAGCAGTGTGGAACGGCGAGGAAGCTGAGCACGAGGGAGGTGTTATCGATCGCACTGGACGTCGCAAAAGCCATGGCGTTTCTCCACAAGCACGGCATGATCCACCGCGATCTAAAATCCGCGAATATTCTCCTCGACCGCGACAACCGCGCGGTAGTGGGCGACTTCGGCGTCGCGCGATTGAAAACGGAGCGCGGCGAGATGACTAAAGAGGTCGGAACGTACCGCTGGATGGCGCCAGAAGCGTTTGGAACGAGCTCCTGGCCAGTTACGCACAAGGCTGACGTGTACAGTTACGGAATCGTTCTCTGGGAGCTGATCGCAGGGGAGGTTCCGTTTGCGGATTATTCCCCGTTACAAGCTGCTGTGGCGGTGGCGCTTAACGGAGCACGGCCTCCCGTGCCGGAAAATTGCCCTCCCGGGATTAGGAAGCTGATGGAACGGTGCTGGGACAAAGCGCCCAAGGAGCGGCCGGAATTTGCGGAAGTGATAACCGTGCTGCAGCAGCTGATGCGGGAGGAGGAGGCGCAGCGGTAGAAGATCGATGGGGAATTAGGGTTGGATACAAACCCGGGCCAGCGGTAGAAGAACGCGTTACTAGTGTCAATCTGCACCCCCTCCCCTCCTCCTTCACTCCTTTCCCTTCTACCATTCCTCCATCGCTATCTCCTATCCCCTTACTCTTCCCTCTGCCTGAAAAGGAGTTGGCGGAAAGGCAAAACAGCCCCTTGGGCCCATTCAGGGCAGGTACAGTTATCCAATTTTGTAGGTGAGAAGCTGCTCTGAAGCAGCTTTATTAGAAAGAGAGAACCACAGTTTTGCTCATGGCTTGCCGCATCTTTCCTGTTTATATGTAAATTATAAGCTGTATATTCTTGCCAATGAACATGTGTATTGCGTATATGCATGCATTTTAGAAGATGCGAAAACATTAATCCGAGTGGGCCCAGCAGATTATCACCTAAACATCTAGTTCCCTAAGCATGCCCCAAGCGCCTCATGCCCGCTTATAAACCCATGTACGTTTCATTCTTCAACATAGGACAACTAAGAAAATCAGTGTTTATGCTTCGTGTTTTTTCTTCAATAGGTCTTCCGCGCATTGTACAAAGCAGGCTACCGTATAGCGCATCCGTGAATGTGCTGTGGGGTGGGGGTGAGGCCAAGCCGTCGTGACTCGTGATCGTGAAAGAAAAAGAACAGCCAAGGCGACGGAGGTACCCTACCAAACCATTCTATGAACTTCTTAAACCGCTGTACATCGTATCAAGCTCTAGCGAACCGCATTCGGACATATTGTCAGTGTCTCTTGCACAATCCCCACTAGCTCCTGCAAACACAGCCCCTGCCTTAGGCTTCGGGTGTCGCACTCTGGTCAAGGCGTACTTATTAGCCAGCGCTCGCGCTGCCCTCGCGTCGTCGCTGTTGGTCTCACTTCCCGCCTATCTTCAGTGATTCCCCCTTACACCTGACTGGTTTCTCTTAATCATGAGTACAATTCAGATCGGTCTTGAAGCTGAATAACTAGCAAAGCTTTGTCGTCTTCTGATCATGGACCCCTCGGCAGCGGGGTGAAATCTTCAACCAGTTCAACCCAGTTCTACCCAAATTTACCCAGTTTTACCACCTACACCGTACTCAATAAACCGTTACCGCCTCAAATCCCCCACATTCCTTGTCATCGGCCTCGCTAGTCATGGAGCCATCGCCGGCGGAGTTATCGCGGCCGGACTCGGCGCGCAGCGCGTGGCACTGGATCGAATTCGTTCTCTTCCCCGAGAAGCTCGACGAGCATCTCGCGCTGCTGGAGCAAGGCGCTACTCGCGCGCCGTCGCTCGTCGCTCTCATCTCCACGTTCCTCGAACAGGTCGGTTGTTTGAGCAGGCCCAGACGATTTTTGAGAGACGTATTATCCAGAGCCGCGAAGCTCGACGAGAGAGAATCTTGCGCTGCTCGTTCAATGTCCTTCACAAGGCGCTACTTTCCCGCCATCGCTCGTCGCTCTCATCTCCGCACTCCTCGAACAGGTCGGTCAGGTACCACTTATGCAGGCCTGGTTAGGTCCGGTCAATTGCTGTGGCGCCTTGGGTAAATGTCCACCTCTTGTGACTCGGCACGCTCATCCCCACGTTCCTCCAACAGGTAGGCAGGTACCGCTCAGATAGGCTTGGCCAGGCCAGGTCAGGTCAGGTCAGGTCAGGTCAGGTCAGGTCAGGCTGGAGGACGGGTAAATTCCTGAATTTTTATCCCGCGTATCCCTCCTTTTTTTTATCGTTTCTCATCTCCGCCCCTCCCCCCACTCCGCGCCCCTCCCCCACCCCAGGCGGCGCAGATTCAGAGGCTACAGACACCCGCGGAAGGGGAAGGCGCGGGCGCACCAGGGGGGGAAGGGGCGGAAGCAGGTGGGGGGAAAGGAGCAGGCGCACCAGAGAGTGGGGGAGGAGGGGCAGGTTTGGGGAATGGTGTTGCTGGGAAGAAAAAGGGGAGTGCAGGAGAAGAAACTCCTGAATTGGTCAAGGGCAGGGAGGGAGGAGGAGGAGGGGAAGGAGGGGGAGGAGGAGGAGGAGAAGGAGGACTGACAGCAGGAGATGGAACACCCATGAGACCACCCCCCAGCCAATCAGAAGTCACTATCATGGCTCTTTGCCGATTGGTCGTCCGTGCGGCCCTGAAATCAAATCTCTCGCTGCCCGCAATCGAAAAAGATTTCCCCCCCATTCATCAGATGCCTCTGCTGCAGCTGCTCGTGCTGCTGGACGATCCGAGCCGTCGCATCGTCCGGCAGTGCAATCTCCACCGTTGGTTCTTGCGAGCTTGTTTAGACTGCCCGGGTGGGGGTGCAAAAGTTTTGGGCGGCGAAGAGGGAGAGGGGGAGTCAGGTGGCTTGAAAGGGGGAACTGGGGGAGGTGATGCAGGCGGGAGGTATGGTGCTGGGGGGTTGGGAGCGGTGGGAATGGGTGGAGGTGGATTGGGAAGAGGACAGGGGGGTTGGGGAGGAGGGGTAGGCAACGGGGGAGCGAGAGGGTTTGGTTCTGGGAACGCTGGTGGTGGTGGTGGGGGTGGTGTGGGGGGAGGTATGGGTTTTGGCGCGAATGGGGGTATGGGTGGAGTGGGGGGAATGGGGGGTACGAAGAATTCAGGGCGGAATGGGAAGAGTAGTGTGGATGTGAGGCGGATTGCTCCGTTGCTCTGCCCTTCTGCTTCGGCGGCAGACCTAGATGCTTGGCTCGGGCTAGCAGACGAAGGAGGCTCGGTGCAGTTCTTACTTAGGGTTTCGGGGTTTGATAAGAAAGCAGGGGAGGGAGGAGGAGAGGCAGGAGGAGAGGGGGAAGGAGAGGAGGGAGGAGGGGAGAGAAGAGAGGAGGGAAGAGGGGAGGGAGATTGCATGGAAGGCGAGCAAGGGAACGTGGAGGAAGGGGTTGGAGCAGGAGAGGGGAAAGAGAGTGGGATCGATAGGGGAGGCAGCAGCAGTGGGGGAGGGGCTGCAGCAGCGGACGGAGAAGAGAAAGGAGAAGAGGGAGGGGTTTTGAGCGGGGGAAAAGAGAGGGATGGGGAGGAGGGGGCTGCTATGCCAGGGGCAGGGGCAGGGGCAGTGGAAGGGCCAGGGGAGGAAGCAGTTGGGGTTGAAATTAAAGGAGAGAAATGCACAACGACAGATACGCGAGACCATTCTTCTGGTTCTCCTCCTCCTCTTGTTGCCACTGGTGCCTCTGCTGCTGCTGCTGCTCCTGCCACCACTCTTCCTCACGCCCCTTCCACTCGTGAGGCTGTCCCCGCTTTGCCTCCCCGGCTGCAGCAGCTGGTGTGGTTCGATCTAGGGGAGTATCAGTTTGCACGGGGGGATATCTGGCAAGCGGCCCGGCTGTTTGCAGCATGCGAGGCTGGAGCGAGAGGGGAGGGTGAGAGGGAGTGGCAGGGCGAGGGGGAAGGTGAGAGGGAGCTGGAGGGCGATGGGGAGGGGCATGGGGATGGGGATGAGGATGGGAATGGGGATGGGGATGGCCATGGGCATGGGAAGGGGGAAGGGGGGAGGTTGGGAAGGGAAGAGGGCGAGGGTGAGGGGGGAATGAAGGGTTTTGGAAAGGCTGATGGGGATAGGGAGGAGACGATGGGAATGGAGGGAGAGGTTGTTGCAAAGGCGAGTTGTGGGGCGTCTCAGGAGAGGAAGAGGGGGCAAGAGGGAGTTCCAGGGGCAAGAGAGGGAAAGAGGTCTGGAGGGAAGGAGAGGGAGGAGGTGGGGGAGGGAGAGAAGGGAGAGGAGGGAGAGGAAGAAGAAGGGCGGGAGGAGCGGGAGGGGAGAAAGGGGGAAAAGCAAAAGGCAGAAGAGGGAGCAGAGGAGGATTTGGAGATGAAAGAGGGGGACAGAGAAGGGGAAGGAGTGGGGGAGGGAGAGGGGAACAGAGAGGGAGAGAGAAGGGGGGAGGGAGAGGGTGAGGGGGAGGGAGAGGGGGAGGGAGAGGGGGAGAGGCGGGGAGAAGGGGAGTCAGCAAAGGGGCAGAGACCTGTAAGAGTGGCTAGTTTTGGATGCAAAGTGGAGGTAGAGGAGGAGCGGAAGGCAGAAGGAGTAGAGGCAGGGGTGGGGGAGGTGAGTGCAGGGGGGAAGGGAAGAGGAGGAGGGTTGGATGTGTTGTGTGGATCAAGAGGTGGAGTGGTGCTTGTGAAGGGAGGAGGAGGGGGAGGAGGGAGAGGAGGAGGAGGAGGAGGAGGAGGAGGAGGAGGAGGAGGAGGAGGAGGAGGAGGAGGAGGAGGAGGAGGAGGAGGAGGAAGAGGAGGAGGAGGAGGTGGAGGAGGAAGAAGAGGAGAGAGGGTAGGGTTTGTGAGTGTGGAGGAGGAGAGTGGGGACGAGATTGTGAGGGAGCGGTTGCAAGGGTTTCTGGCCGCTTGTGAGGCAATGCTTCCTGCTTCTGTTGTGATAGGGGCGAGGGAAGAGAAGGGAAAGATGGGGAAGGTGAGGGGAAAGGTGGAAATGAACAGAGGGGAGGGTGCAGAGAGAGGGATGGGCGCGGGAAAGGGAAAGGGTAAGGGTGAGGGAGAGAGTAAAGGAGAGGGGAAGGGAGAGGGGGAGGGGGAAGGGGAGGCAGGGGAGGAGGGTGTGGGATTTTGTCTGCCCATGAATGCTGCTCAATGTGAACTGCTGAGGAAGAAGATTTGTGACTGCTGCTGCTGCTGCTGCTGCTGGTGGTGGTGGTGGTGGTGCTGGTGCTGGTGCTGGTGCTGGTGGTGCTTCAACAGAAGCTAGAGGAGATAAAGCAAGTGGGGGCGTTGGGGTAGAGGAGCAGGCGGAGCAGAGGAATCGCAAGAGACAGAGAGGAGGCTCTGGTTGGAATGAAGGAGCACGCTCTACGGAAGACACAACAAGGGGACAGGGGCAGGACAACTGCAGCAGCAGCAGCAGCAGCAGGAGGAGCAGGAGGGGGGAGATGAAGAGGGGAAGAGGAAGGAGAAGCGACAGAAGCACAGTGTCCGTTTAAGCCCCAGTGAAGACGTTGTGCTTAAACAGCCAGGAGAAGAGGCTGATGGTGGTAGATCCGAGGATGGGGAAAACGGGGGTGAGAGTGATGACCTGGGGGGGGGAGGTGCGTGGGAGCTGGAACGAGAAAGGGGGGGAAAGGATGACGAGGAAAACAAAGCATGGGAATGTGGAAAGGAGCAGGAGCAGGGGAAGGGGAAGGGGGAGCAGGAGCAGCAGCAGAAGCAGGGGAAGGGACAGGAGCAGGAGCAGGAGGGGGAGCAGGAGGAGGAGCAGAGGGATGAACAGAAGCAGGAGCAGCAACAGGTAGATTTGTTCATCCCTCAGCAACAGCCAAGAAAAGGAGTCAGAAAGGAAGGCAATGTTTCAACGGGACAAAGACAGCTCCCTGCCACTGCTCTTCTGAATCTGCTAATCCAGGACATTGTGTGGCAGCAGCTGCCCGAAGGGTACCGGGCAGCACTTGAAAATGATTTTTCGCTGCCCGAAGGCGTCCGTGGGAGGATTTTTGCAGCGAATCTTGTTCACCGCGTTGCTGTTGGCTGGCGGCCCGTGGAAACTTTTCTCGAGTCTTGGCTGGAGAAGGATTTTCCAGGGCAGCTCGGGCAGAAAAAGACCCACCGGAGGGGGTTGTCTAAAAATGTACTTGTTGTTGTGATCAAATTGCTTGATTTCTTGGTGAGTAAACTAGAGGGAAACGGTGGTGGGAGTGTGGAAACGCATGCGGCAGTTTATGGCGTGCCGAGGAGGGGAAATAGCAGAGATAGCAGTAGAGACACGGACAGAGGCAGGGGCATAGGCAAGGGCGGAGAGGAAGGCAGAGAAAGGGGCAGATGGAGGGGCGGAGGAAGGGGCAGAGACGAGGACTTATTGGTGGTGGAGGGAGAAAGAGCAGTGGTGATAGCAGAGAGAGCAGCGGCGCTCGCAGCGTTTGTGAGCTGTCTGGTGGGCGAAGCATGGGCGTGGGGCCTTGCTGCGCGAGTGAGAGAGCTGCAGAGGCGGATAGAGAAGCTGTGGAGGGGTGGATTTGACGGAAAGGGTGGTGTGGAAAGCAGAGAGGGCTGGGAGAGTAGTGAGGGTGGAGAGCGCAGGGAGAGGGCTGAGGAGGATTGGGAGGGTGAAGGAGATGGTGAGGGTGACTGGGCTGCTGGTGACAGTGGGGTAGAGGAGGAGGACGGGGAGGAAGAGGAAGGGGAGGAGAATGGAGCAGAGGACGGGAGGGAAGGAGGGTTGGAGAAAGAAAAGAGGCTCATGGGAAGAGTCTCATCTGGGCGTCTCGGTCTCCCTTCTTTGGCTTTGGAAATGGGTGCTCTGGGTTGTGCTGCGGATCTGGAGAGAGTGATTCGAGTGATGCTGCTGCAACAGGAGAGGGGGGAGGTGAGGTGTAGGAAGGCGGGAGGTGATACTGCTGATGCTGCTCGTGCCGATGCTAAAGCTCGTGCTGCTGCTGCTGCCCGTGGTGCTGCTCGTGCTGCTGCTGCTAATGCTGCTGCTCGTGCTACTGCTCGTGCTACTGCTCGTTCTTCTGCTAGTCCTGCTGCTCGTGCTGCTGCTAGTTTCGCTGCGGCTGCCGCTCATGCGGCTGCTGCTGTTGCTGCTAGCACTGCTGCCGCTGCTGCTGATGCCGATGGTGTTGACGCTGCGAATGGGGAGGAGAGGCGGAGAGGGAGCGAGGGCGTGTGGGCGGGTGGGGATGTGCAGAAGACACGGCAGCTGGTGAGATTGCTGGAACGGATGGGGAAGGGTCTGCTGAGAGAATATTTGGTGGAGGGGGAGAGGGAGGGAGGAGGGATCTGGCGAGAGTGCTGTTCGGGTGGATGCTCGGACGGAGGTTTGGGTAGGGGGCTGGATGGAGGCTCGGGTGGGGGGTTGGAGGAAGGGAGCTTGGGAGAGGAGGTGCAAGGGATGGTGTGCGTGGGAAGGGATGGGGGGAAGAGGTGGGATGGTGCTGTGTGGAGTGGGGTTGGAGGAGGGGAGAGGGAGGTGAACAGGAGGGAGATTTGGACTGGTGCACAACGAATGTTCCATCTCGCAGCTGAAGTGTCTGCTACCGCTGCTGCTCCTGCTGCCACCTCTGCTGCTGCAGCTCCCGTTGCTGCTGCCGCTGCTGCTGCGGCTGCTGCTGCGGCTGCTGCTCTGGCTCCTGCTGGTGTTTCTGCTGTAGAGGAACCTGCAGAGACCTATTGGGGGGTTGATGTGAGCAGTCAGGTACTGCTGTGGGCCATGGGGGACAGACTTGGGGGTGGGGCAGAGAGGAAGCACGGAGGCGGGGAGTGCCATAAAGGGGATGGCAGGGCCGGTGTAACGAATTCTGTTAACAGAATGGTGGATGGAGGAGGGGTGGTGGTGCCAGTGCCAGTGGTTGCTGCCGGTGGTGGTGCGGGTGCTGATACTGATACTGGTGATGGTGACGGTGATGTTGATATGAAAGGAAGCGACTTGCAGAGCGAGCAAGAGCAAGTTCACGAGAGGCAGAAGCAGAAGCAGACGCAGGAGCAGCAGCATCAGGCACTGCCTCAGCAACCGCAGCAGCAGCAGCAGCAAAGCAGCAGTGGTTTGTCTGGGGACTCAGATATGTGGTCCAGGGATCCTCACACCTGGCCTCGCCTCTCTTCCCCCTGTGTTGCCCCCGATGCTGCTGAGCTGGCTCTGGCACTCCTGACCAATCAGCAGCGGTGGGGCGATGCACTGGCTCTCTGTGATTGGCTGGAGGGCGTTGTGAAGCGAGTGGAGGGTGGAGGGGGAGGGAAAGATGGGAGGATGGTGGTAGGGGTTGGTGAGGCTGATCGGTTACTACCGGCAGCAGAAACAGCAGGAGCACCAGTTGTAGCAGCAGCAGCAACAGCAACAGCAGCACCGTCAGCAGATGCAGCAGCAGCAGGAGTGGAAGGAGCAGTGGTGGGAGTGGTGGAAGGAGAAAGCAGGATGGAAGGCACGAGAGATGATCTTAGGGTAAAGAACGGAGGTCGGGAAGGGAAAGCAGGGAAGGGAGGCAATGAATCTGCTACAGCCGGAGCACCAGGAGGAGAAGCAAGGGAGAAAGAACTTGAGGGGGTTGCAATGGAAGTGGAGCTAGCAGTAGCGGGGATAGGTGTCTCACCTCCTGCTGCTCCTCCTGCTGTCCCTGCGGGGTTGGAGAGTGGGGGCGTGGAGACAGGACCAGCTGGAGGGGTCAGAGAGCGGGTGGACCAGGGAAAAGAGGAGCAGAGAGAGAGGGAGAGGGAGAGGAAGGGGGAGCGGAAGGGGTGGGAGAGGGGGTGGTGTGTGGAGGTGGGTGCAGTGACAGGTGTGTGTCGGGGCCTTTGTGAGGTCATGATTGCTGCTGATGCGTTTCTTTGTGGGGGGAACGACGGAGGAGCAGAGGGAGCAGTGGGAGGAGGAGGAGAAGGGGGAGTGGGAGAAGGAGGAGAAAGTGGAGGAGGGAAGGGAGTAGGGATGATCCTTTCCAAGGCTGTGACTGATACGGGCAGTGGTAAATTGAACAGTAAGGCAGGCAGTAAACCAAACAATAAGGCAGACAGCAAGACAGACAGCAAGGGAGACAGCAGGACAGACAGAAAACAAGACAGTAAAGGAGACAGCAAGGCAGACAATCACAAAGGCAATGCGGCAGTCAAGTCCGTGACTGTGCGCACAAATGCAGCAGCAGGTTCTGCTGCTAGAATAGAGGATGCTACGAGGCTCGCCGCGGCAAGGCTGTGCTCTGCCCTGGATGCTGCTCTTACTGCTCTTGTTGTGTATGGCTGCCGGGAAACTAGACTCTTGCTGCCACTGGAAAAGGAAGGAGTTGCTGCAAATGGAAACGCCGCTCCTGCTCCTGCTGCTGCTGGTGGTGGTGTAGGAGCAGTGGGAGAAGCCGGAGGGAAAACGGGCGGGGAAATAACAGCAGCAGCGGTAACAGCAGATGCAGCAGCAGCAGAATTAGCAGCAGCAGGGATACCAGCAGCAGCACCATCTGTCTCCGTGCCTCCCGTGGCCCACCTCCTCCGTCGCGTGCCTGTCCTGCCACTCCTCTCCAACCAACGCTTGCTCACCTGCCTGGCCTCTCTACTCGTGGGCTGGGTGCAGCGATATGCCTCCCTGAATGCCACTGGTGCTTCCGGTGCTAGTGGTACTGGTGGTACTGCTGCCTCTGCACCTTCTGCTGCCGCTGCTGCTGCTGCTGCCGCTGCTGCAGATACTACTAATGCCGGTACCACTGCTGCTACTGCTGCGGCGTCTGCGGCTGCGGTGGCTGTTGCAAGTCCAAGGAATTGGTTACTGGAGCTCCCTCGGTTCGGCCTTCTAGCTGCTGTTGCTGCTGGCATAGATGTTTTCGGAGGAGGGGGATCGGGAGTAACGGGGCAAGGGGGTAAGGATACGGGGATGGGGGTGGGGAAGGGGGTGGCGGGTGATGGGAAAGGGGGTAATGGGGGAATAGGGCTGGATGGGAGGGAAGGGGGCACGGGGATTGGGGGTGGTGGGGGAGTGGGGAGGGACGGTGGGGGAAACGGTGGGGGGCGGAGTAAGGGTGAGGAGGGGGGGAGCAAGAGGAAGAGGACGAGGGAGGAGAGGGAGGGGAGGAGGGAGGAGAAGGAGGGGAAGAGGGAGGAGAGGGAGGGGAGAAGAGAGGAGAAGGAGGCGAGGCGGGAGAAACGGAGGAAGGAGAAGGAGGAGAAGGAGAGGGAAAGGGAGAAAGAGAAGGGTAGGCATAAGGAGAAAGAGAAAGATAGGGAGAAGGAGAAGGAGAAGGAAGAGAGGGACAAGGGGAGGGAGAAAGATAGGCATAGGGAGAAGGACAGGGGTAAGGATAAGGATAAAGAGAGGGATAAAGAGAGAGACAAAGAGAGGGATAAAGAGAGGGACAAGGAGAGGGATAGAGAAAAGGAAAGGGATAAGGAGAGAAGCAAGTCAAAGGGGGAAAAGGGTTCCTCTTCCCACAGGCATCGGCACCACCATCACCACCACCACTCAAGCCGCACCCACTCCTCTCCCTCACACTCCCCCTCTCATTCCCCCTCGCAATCTCCCTCACACCCCCCCTCCACGTCCCCGGCTCATGTTCCTGTGGAAGCTTCTTCTGTGCCTGTGGAAGCTTTTGCCGTGCCTCCGGAAGCTTCTTCTGTGCCTGTGGAAGCTTCTTCCATGCCTGTGGAAGCTTCTTCTGTGCCTGTGGAAGCTTCCTCCATGCCTGTGGAAGCTTCCGCAATGCCTGCTGACTCTTTCCCCAACCCTCCTCCATTGAATCCCGATCTGCCTACGACCAGCCTGGCTAATGCAGAGCCAGTAGCAGCAGCAACAGTAGTGGCACGAGCAGCGGAATCGGAATCAATAGTGGCACCACCAGCAACAACAGCAGCAGCAGCAGCAGCAGCAGCAGCATCAACACCGGTAACAATACCAACAGCAACAGAAGCCGCAACTTCTAGCGGCGGTGTAACACTGGCAGAAGGAGCAGACGCGGGAGCAGGAGCGAGAGCGGGAGCGGGAGCAGGAGAAACAGCAAGAGCACAGAAGGAAGGGGGAGCGAGAGAGCAAGAGGCATCGTCTTCTGCTGCTGCTGCTGCTGGGACGGGTAACGACAATGCTGCTGGTGCTGCTGCGGCTGTTGCTGTTGGTGGTGCTGATTTAGGTAACATCAATGCTGCTTCTGTAGCAGCAGCAGCAGAAGAGCAGGCAGCAGCAGAAGAACGAGCAGCAACTGAAGGAGCAGTAGCAGCAGCAGTTGTAACAGTACCTGCTACACCAGCAGCAGCATCAGCAGCAGGAAGAGAAGAAGTTCGGAAAGAGGGGGAGGAGGGGGAGGAGGGTGAAGCAGCTTATGGGGCATCAGAAGAGCAACACAGGGCCAAGGCAGAGGGGGGGATTGCACCTTCCATTCTCCCTCCTGCTACTGCTGCTGCTGCTGCTGCTGCAACCCTGTTCCTGCTACTGCTGCTGTTTCTTCCACCCCTGCCTCTTCCACACCTTCTGCTGCTGCTGCTCCTGCTTCTGCTGCTGCTGGCACTGACAAGGGTGGTGGCAAAGGTCAAAGAATGGGTGGTGATGGTGGTGATGACAGAAGTCAGGACACACGAGGCACCATGAAAAATACAGGAGGGGCGAAAGGAGAGGCGCCAGCAGCACCAGTACCAGCAGCAGCAACACCAGTAGCAGGAGCAGCAATACAAGCAAGGGCAGAAACACCAGCAGCAGCAGCAGCAGCAGCAACACCAGCAGCAGGAGCAGCAATACAAGCAAGGGCAGAAACACCACCACCACCACCACCACTAGCTGCACGGGAGCACCGGCACTCGAGAGCGCATGTGTGTGTGGGAGCTGGTTTGCTGGAGTGGCTTCTACTGCGCCTGACAGGGGTTGGAAGAGAGGGGCGCGTAGCAAGAGCCGTGGGGTTTGGAGGGATTGGAGAAAGGAGGGAAAGCTGGGTGTGGGAGAGCCGGCTTGGGGACTGGGTGCAGGAAGGAAGGGGGAGAGAGAATGGGAAGGAAAGTGGGAGTGAAAGTGGGAGTGGGGGCGAAAGTGGGGGTGTTGGTGTTGCACGTGCTGATATGAGCCTGTGGCCTGGGGAGGAAGACGCATGGTGGGAATTTCAGCAGCAGAAGCAGCAACCGACACAGCAGCAGGCACAACAGCAGGCACAGCAGCAGGCGCAGCAACAGCAGCAGCAGCAGCAGCAGCTGCTGCTGTGGGGGCAGGATCCCCTGTTACCGCTGCCACAGCTGCTGCTACCCCAACACCCCGGTCCATACCTGCCCTCTCCCGAACAGCAGCAACAGCAGCAGCAGCAGTGGCAGTTACCGCTTCCGTATGGTCAGGCCTCAGCAGCAGGAGCAGCAGCGGCCACAGCACTGGCAGGATCCAAAGCAGGAGCAGCGGGAGCAGCGGGAGCAGCGGGAGCATCAGGAACAGGAGGCGCCAGTAGTAGTGGTGCTGCGGTTGGTGCGGCAGAGGGCGAGGCAGAGGGAGAGGCATGGGTGTGGCTGTTGTGCCTTGCAGACGTTGCTTTCAACCGACAGGACCACCTCTCTGCTCTCCGCCTCTACCTCCTCGTCAGTCCCCCTCTCCTATCCCTCGCTCCTGTTTTGAGACATCTCAACAAACAGACTCAGCATTAAATCACCCTCCCCTGGTTTTGAGAATTCTCGAAAAACAGGACCACCTCTCTGCTGTCCGCCTCTACCTCCTTGTCAGTCCCCCTCTCCTCTCCCTCGCTCCTGTTTTGAGACATCTGAAGCCTCCTCCTCTTTTGAGACGACTCAGGGTGACTCAAAAAGTCGCGTTTGGGTCGACTCAAAACCCTCTCTCGCTCGTTCCTGTTTTGAGACGTCCCAAGCCTCCTCTTCAATCCCCCCTTTCCTCACTCCTCCCAACCCCTACCCCTACCCCTACCTCATGCAACAGGCGGGCCGGTCAGCCACGCGAGGGGTCTGGGACAGCAACCCTGCGACCGCCAACGGGGGCCAAAGCAGAGACCTTTTTTTAAACGTCTCAGAAGTCATCTCACCCTCTCACCCTCCCCTTCTCTGTGCAACAGGCGGGTGAGTCAGCCACGCGAGGGTTCTGGGACAACAACCCTGCGACCGCCAACGGCGGCAGCAGCAGAGGCAGCATGGCACGGCAAGCAGTGCAGGCAACCCTCTCCCTCGGCCAAACCCTCCGCTCTCTCCTCCCCTCCATGACTGCACATGCCAGTGCTGTTCGTGGTGGCAGCGGCGGCAGCAGTGGGGAGGGGAGGGCTAGTGGGTTGGGTGGTGCGGGTTTGGGTGGTAGCAGTGGTGGTGCTGCTGTGGGTTTGGGAGCGGGAATGGGGATGGGGAGGGGAAGGGGGAGCGGGGTGGGTAGAGGAATGGGAAGAGGGGTAGGAGTTCCTGTGAGTGGGATGGGGCCAGGCGTTGGTGGTGCTGCCACTGCCACTGTCACTGCCGCTGCTGCTGCTGCTGCTGCTGGCGTTGGCAGTGGTGGTGCTGGTACTGTTACGCTGCCTGCCAATAGCTCGGCTCTACCTCGTGTATTCTCACCCTGGGTGGTACGTGCTTCCCTCTCACTCTGGTCCTCTCCTCGCTGCACCCCTTCTCACCGCACTTGCTCGCGTGTCTCCCTTCTCTCCATACGCCGCTTTTTGTTCCAACTTCATCACACGCTCGTTGCTCTCGTGTGCTGCACCTCCCTCTTCCTCGCTCTTCCCCCTTCCCCCCCTTCCCCTACTCCCCCCCCAAATCAGCTGCGGCGCATGCTGCTGGCTCTCAGAGCGGTGGGCGCCAATCTCCCAGCGGCTGTGCTGTGTTAGCTGCACTGCTTTCCCAGCAGCTGCAAGCCGCTTCCATCAGTTTTCCTCTCTCCCCTCTTCCCCATCCCATTCTTCCCCCTCAATCAGCTGCGGCGCATGCTGCTTGCTCTCAGGGCGGTGGGCGCCAATCTACCAGCGGCTGTGCTGTGCCAGCTGCTGCCAGCGCCGTACGCAGTCAGGCCCGCCGGGTTGTCCATTTCAGGGGCGCCCTCCAATCCTCCATCCTCTCTCCCCCTGCTCCCTCCTCCCCTCATTTTCTTCTCTCCTACCTCTTCCACCCTCTTCCGTTTCCTTCCCTGCCTCTCCCATCTTCCCCACTCCCTCCTACCCCCCAAATCAGCTGCGGCGCATGCTGCTTGCTCTCAGGGCGGTGGGCGCCAATCTACCGGCAGCTGTGCTGTGCCAGCTGCTGCCGGCGCCATACCTGCCGCTCGCCTTCCACCTCCTCTCCTCCTCACCACTCCTCGACTCCGCCACCACGCACGCGTACATCCAGTGCATCTGGGAGGTAGGTGATCGTTCACTTTTGTGTTGACTCGAAAGGTGAGAGTCAGGAGTCCTGGGCCGTTGCAAATCTCGCTTCTTCACTCCTCCACCACACGCTCATGCATCCAGTGCATCTGGGAGGTGAGTCATCACAACAACACATTTTGCAGAGAGTGCTGAAAACTTTCTACTCTCCTCCCCGCCTCACTCCTTCACTCTGCCACCACACACGCATGCATCGAGTGCATCTGGGAGGTGAGAGCCTCTTTTGAGCCTCTTTTGGGAGTTCGTAAGGAGTTTTGAGACGTTGCAAAACTCGCTCCTTCACTCCTCCACCACACTCACATGCATCCTGTGCATCTGGAGAGGTGAGTCATTGATAGGCCATGGTTCTCAAAGAATGCAAATATAACAATATGTATGTCTGTATATACATGCATATGTGTGACGCCTCGAGGCAGCAGGTGGCACCACAACACTAGCACGTGCTTATCTCGTGCTTGTATTGCTTCCTCTGTCACCCCCATCAGGTGCCTCTGCTGGAGCTGCTCGCCAGTCGCCTGGAAGCAGCAGGAGACACGGCAACGCTAGTGCTCGTGCTCCCAGTGCTAGCGCTGCCCTCCTGCAACGCGCACAACCCGCCCTTTGTGCGCCGGGCCCACGTGCGCCGCTGCTCCCTGCGCTTCTTCCGCTTGCTCGCCTCGCAGCTGGGCGCAGGACCGGAGTTCAGGGGTTAGGGTTCCAGGGGTTTGAGAGCCTGAGCTCCTAGGTTTAGACGCTGATGTATGTCTCACTGACTGTTTCTAGTGGTGTTTGCTTACTGTTTCTACTGGGTCTGTTTTATGTCTCTTGTTTGCATGTCGGTGGTGCGTTGCACACATCATGGCTGCTTCCCTATTCTCTGCAAAAACCAAGTGCTTCAATACAGATACCCTCAGGCGCGCAGCAGCGTATCCACTCTGCACTGCATCCTGATTCCCGACAAATACCAGAGTATCGTCCTTCAGTAGGATGCCCTATTACTTATACAGGTTGTACACTTCAGACAACCATCTGCATCGAAGCTGGTCAAAGCGAGTACGCTCTGAACGAATTGACTCGGCTCGCGTCGCCTCGTCGCGTAGGACCCTCACGACAGGCCAAAGGGTACCTATTTCAATCCAGCCCTTACCTTTGTATACCGTTTCTTGATACGCTGTTATCCATTCCACCGAAACAAGATCCCTTGGGGCACCCACAGCGTTTGAGCCCACATCCACACCAACCAGCCAGCGACGAATATGACTCGCTGGATCTGATCGTACGGCCCTCAGTTGTGCATCGCACGAACTCACCCCTGAATCCTCGCGTCTCCAAGCTCAGATATTTTTCGGCATGGTGGGAGGGAAGAAGCGCCGATCGTGTGGGGTGCGGAAAACTTTCTTTGGCGTACAAACCAAACCAACCAGTCATTGAGTTTGTTTAGGTTGGGCTAGGTTGTCTTCGGCTACGATGGGTGAGTACTGGTTAAGCTGGGCTGGTATGGGAGGGAATGCCTTGGGAATTGGGAGTTCGGGAATGCCTGTTTGATTCGGCTCGATCTTGCTCTGGGCCTTCATCTCCCCACTATTTTCATGTTCCCCTACCCTCCTCCACCATTTAAGTCTGGTCATTTGGCAAGCAAGCCGCGAAGGTCTGACTACGCTCTTAGCGTCCCGGACTCCGATAGCGCCTATTAGTACAACATTCTAAGAAAAAAACTCATAATTTGCTTAAATGTGCCTCTGGGCCCCCTCTAAGTTGTGCATTTATGCGTTTTTGTTCATTTCTCGGACCCTGAAATAGCACACCCCGCGAGCCAGTCTTCTATGGTCTTTGCCCCGCCGCCTTCTCTATGCACCTGCACCAGCCTCCCATAGGTTATCGATTTTCCTATAAGATACTGCGAATCTGACATCCTTTTCCTCCTCAGCAAAGCGTCAGCTTTTTATCGCCCGCTTTCCTTGAATCTCTCTCTCCCGCGTATTACCCTCTCCTCCTCCTCCGCCTCCATACGTCTTCCCTCCCTCTTTCCGCGTATCTCTTTCCCCCCCCCTCTTTCTGCCTCCTCCGAGTCTCCCCAGGCCTCCCCCGGAACTTCCCGCTAATGCACCCAATGTCCGCTTCCGCCTGTTCCGCCACTCTCCTCCCCGCAGCCCTCCCCCGCTGCCCCATCCCCCGGACCTCCGCTTCCGCGCAACCCCCCGTTCCCTCATTATCCAATCGCTACCGCTCGCCTCGCGCGATTGAAAAATCCAACCGTTCCCCCGCATTCCACGGCAACCCACTCCTTCGCCTCAACGCGCCTCGGTTACATTTAAGAAATCTCCAAAGCGAATCTCGTATGTCAACCAACGGCGGGGATTCCGCTGTCGTTAGTGTCAACGTGTCGCTTCTCTCGCCGTCGACCTCCCGCCGCCGTGCTGTGCAGTCTCCGCCTCCGCTGGTTGCGGGGGGAACCGCCGTCGGCAGCGGCGGCGGAAGCGGCGGCGTGTGGGTGCGCGGGGGCGCGGAGAGGCGCGGAGGGGAGAGTGCGGAAGACGCGGGGCAGGATACCCCTTTCCTAAGCGGAAGCGGAAGGGTGCGGCCGGGGAGTGTCGCGGCATGCGCGGGGAACGGCGGGCAGGCGCACGCGCCCGTTGACCAGGAACGCGCGGACAAAGCGGAGAGCGGTCAGGGCGGATGGGGAGCGAGCGCGGACGCGGGCGCGAAAGAGGATGGGGTAGGCGCGGAGCTGGTGGGCGGAGGAGGGGGGGAGGCGGAAGAGCATTTGTCGTCTTCTGGGCGGACGCTGGGCAATTTGATCATATCCATTGTGGGCGCAGGTGGGTGGCAGGATGGGTAACAGGGTAACACGATAAACTCCAGTAGCCGGTAGCCAGGTAACCCGATATGAGGGTGACAGTGTTACAGGTAACAGATTCCTATCGGGGATAGCAGGAGGCAGATTCCTATTCCACCGCCATTCTCCTATTTCGGCCTTCTCTTATTCCCTTGGTAATGAGGTCCAACAATTACCAACTTGATCAACCAATCATATGGAGCAAAGAGCGTTCAAAGAGCCATCGTGAGTCATTTCGAGTTACCTTTTGGTGCCCTCCCCTCGCGATGGCTCCCCTAAAAGTAGTGTTTTGAGAGGAGGGGAGGGGAGGGGAGGGGAGGGGAGGGCAAAACACTACTTTTGTCACGTGGCAATTTTTTTGGTGCCCTCCCCTCCCCTCCATCCCCCGACCCTCTCCCCTCAATCTTCCCCACTTTCTCCCCTCCGTTCCCCCGCTCTCCCCTCCGTTTCCCCACTCTCCCCTCCGTTCGCCCCCTCTCCCCATCTCACTCCCAGGCGTGTTGGGGCTGCCCTATGCGTTCATGCGCTCGGGCTGGCTCGTCTCCCTCATCTCTCTCGCCGCCACGGCCACGCTCACCCACCGCGGCATGTACCTGCTGCTCTTGACGCGCCTCAAACATCCTTCCGTCCCTTCTTCTCCCCGTCTCTCCCCCAGGCGTGTTGGGGCTGCCCTATGCGTTCATGCGCTCGGGCTGGCTCGTCTCCCTCGTCTCTCTGGCCGCCACGGCTGCTCTCACCCACCGCGGCATGTACCTGCTGCTCGCCGCGCGCGCCCTGCAGGAAGACTGGGAGGCGGAGCAGCTTGGGCTGCCACAGCAGCAGCAGGGTGCGCTGCCGCAGAAGCAGATTCAGATGCAGGAGGCAAAGACAGGGGGAGATGGCAGTAAGGAGGGATCAGAGCAACGGGGAGGTGGAAGGGAGACGGACTCGCTGCTTGCCAGAGAAAGCATGGAACAACCATCACAAGCAGCAGCAGCAGCAGCAGCAGCAGCAGCACCTCTTATCACCCTACAGAAATCACCATCCGCAGCAGAGCAGGCTTGCACCAGCACCACCAGCACCGCCACAATGGTCACCAGCAGGGCGGGGGGGAAGGTGCGGTCGTATGGGGACCTGGGTGAGCGGGTTTACGGAGCGGTGGGGCGCGGTGCAGTGGACGCCATGGTGCTGGTGAGCCAGGGCGGCTTCTGTGCCGTGTTCCTGGTGTTCATGGGCCACAACGTCGCCAGCGTGCTCTGGGGCTCGACTCTAGACTCTTCTCTTGTCATTGCGGCTATTGGTGAGTTGCCATCGGTGGGGAGGTGTGCCAGGGGGTTACCACCCGGGTGCTGGTCAGCCAGGGCGGCTTCTGCCTCTTCTGTGGCTTCTGTGCCGTCTTCCTGGTGTTCATGGGTCACAACGTTGCCAGTGTGCTCTGGGGCTCTACGTTGGATTCCTCCCTTGTCATCGCCGCTATTGGTGAGTTCCCATCTGTAGGGTTACCACCTGTGGGGGTTGGTTGGCATATGCGGCTTCTGTGCCGTGTTCCTGGTGTTCATGGGCCACAACCTCCGCTTCTCCCTCGTCATCGCAACCATCCAGGGGTTGCCAGCTGTGTAATCTCTACCTGTGTATGCATACCCGCACCACCCATACCCCCACCACCCATACCCCCACCACCCATACCCCCACCACCCATACCCCCACCACCCATATCCCCACCACCCATACCCCACCACCCATACCCCACCACCCATACCCCACCACCCATACCCCACCACCCATACCCCACCACTGTCGCGTTATTAACACTTAGCTGGCAACTAAGTGTGAATACCACAGCAGCCAAGGTGAGGGTGTACTATAGTTTACCGCTTTGTACTCTAATTTCATTTGTGTGCTTGGAATGTATTGTACTGTACTGCAGAGCCGAGTAGCTGGGGAATTTGAGGTGGTTAGTGGGAGGCGAATTCAAGGAGGTTGGTGGAGGCGAATTCAATTCCAGCCTGTGAATTCAATTTCGAAGTCACAAGGCTGGCAGGCGAATTCAATGCCAGCCTGGGAATTCAATTCGAAGTCACCAGGCTGGAAGGCGGTGCATGCCTAGTGGGCCCAGTGGGGACACAGCTAGCACCTTGGAGACCTCGCGAGCAGCCCGGCTGACTCGCTTGGTGCACAGGAGCTTGCTTGTGGAGGAAGCAACCTAGGCAGGGGGTGGGAATAGATGTAGGCAGGAGTAGCACTCGGGCTTCTTGCTTTTTGCTTGTATGTTTCTCGTTTACTGCAATTTGCTTTCCTAATCCGAAGGGAACTAGCAGTAGGAGAAGCTAACAGCAATCTGACTGAGCCCTTGCGAGGGAGTTTAGACTTGTTGCACGGGAAGCCTGAGGTACCAGGAGGAGTGCAGGACAGAGTGATTACATACGCCAGGAGGAAGAAGGGATGAATCTGATCAGCAGAGCGGGCGGCATGGAGGGAAGAAGAGAAGGAGAAATCAGCAGGATACGCAGGGATGAGAGGGAATGAGGGTGGACAGAGGAAGATTCACGACACCACCCATACCCCACCACCCATACCCCACCACCCATACCCCACCACCCATACCCCCACCACCCATACCCCCACCACCCATACCCCCACCACCCATATCCCCACCACCCATATCCCCAATACCCGTCCATCCGCCCAACAGCCCCTTTCCAGGTCATGCTGTCGTGGCTGCCGTCTCTCACTCAACTAGCTCCTTTCAGGTGCGCTTTTCGAACCTACCCAACCCAACCAAACCCATCCCAGCCCAACCCAACCGAGCCATACCGCATTTCTTTGAAGCCTCTCCGCTCAGCAGCAAACTCCCCTCACCTGTGTGAATGTGGCAGGTAGTTTGTTGAGAGTCATTTTGAGGCTGCCTCAAAATGTTGTAAATTTTATTTTTCGCAACGCCACACCCTTCCTTCCAAAACTTTTGAACAATTCCCAAAGCTTCCATTCCATCAGTGATCGTGACTCGTTTTTCTTCTCTCCCCTGTCATTTCTTCCCCTTCCTTTCCTCCTCCATCTTCAAAGCCTTGCATATCTTTATTACTCAACCTCCTTCCTTCCTCATACCCCTCCCAATCCCTCTCCACCCCTCTCCACCCCTCTCCACCCCACCCCACCCCTCCACACACAGCATATTCGCCAGCGCCGTCAACTTCTGTGCCTTCTCCCTCGTTATCTTCTACGGCCTCACCTCCTTCCCAGGCCTCGACTCTCTCTCCGCCTTCACAACCCTCCACGACGCACCCTTCGCGTTCGGCGTCGCAACCTATGCACTCAACGGCGCTGGCATGACTCTCTCCCTCGAATCATCCATGCAAAACCGCGCCCAGTTCCCCGCCGTACTCGCTACAGGCCTCTCCGTCATCTCGGTTCTATACGCCGCCGTCGGCACGGCGGGGTATTTCGGGTTTGGGAACGAGACGAAGGAGATTGTGACGCTGAATCTGCCACCCGGGTGGCAGAGCTTGGCAGTGAAGCTCGGCGTGTGTGCCGCTCTCTTCTTCACTTTCCCTGTCATGATGACCCCGGTGCATGAAATGGCCGAGCGATACCTCTCCTCCTCTCAGGAAATATACAACAGCTTTCTCTCTCCCTCCGTTGCTCCCGCCCGCCGTCGGCTATTCGTCTGCTTCGTCCGCTCGCTCACCGTGCTTTTCATCGTGCTGCTATCAGTATCAGTGCCGCATATTGGCGCGTTCATCTCCCTTATAGGCTGCAGCGTTTGCTCGGCGTTGGGGTTTGTCGTTCCTGCACTGTTCCATATGAAGGCTGCGAGAGGGAAGTTGGAGGGATCTGCAGTGGTGGGAGACTGGTTCCTGGTTGGGTTTGGTGTAGTCTTCGGGTTATGGGGTACCTGGAATGCGTTGCAGCAAATGCTCGTTTGATTTGGGCGACTGCGGATGAATTACAAACTGGTGTTGTAGATTTCTATTGAACCACCATATTGCATGTGCTGTGCAAGCAAGCCCTCATTATGGTCAGGTAAATACGGTATCATGCAGAAAGAAGACGACAAATCACTGGTGATAGGTACCGTATCATATTCTCAAGCCTGTTGCTTAGAAGGCTTGTGTTTCACACACTATACCGTACATACGGTAGATGTGCCCATGTAATTTGACCGCATTCAGTCATGCAAAATTCAAAAGGAACCGCTCAAAATTCAAAAGGAACCGCTCAAAAGGAAGTTGTGGGGTAGAGGGATGGAGAGGTGGTGAAGAGGGGTGAGTGAGGAGGGGGGAAAGTGAGGTAAGGCGGGGGGGAGACGAGGGGGAAGGGAAACGAGGGGGGAGGGAGAGGTGGGGAAGGAGTGGGGGGAGGATGGAGAAGCTACTCGTCAAGTTTAGGGTTTAATCAGCAGGGAGAGAAGACATGAGCAACCATAAGTAAACGGAGAAACAAGCAGGCTACACTACATGCATCAGTCTCACTTTAAACTCCTGAACTGAATGAGACATAGGGTACCCTGTTTGCGACAGAGAGCACTGTAGCAGCAACCCCGGCCGGCACAGAGGCTGCATGGAGCGTACTGCTGCGTTGTCTTATGGATATCAAAGATTGAGAGAGCACGTGAGCAAAGATGACTGACTGACCCCGATGGAGGATGAGGAGGGATGAGCGGAGATGGGGAGAGGTGGGGTGGGTGAGACGAGGGGAGATGGGGAAAGAGGCGAGCGCAAGTAAGTGCACTACTCTACTCCTGAGGATATTTGAAACTGATGGAAAGGAGGGAGATGGGTGGCGATGGCGATGGCCCAGGTGGAACGAGGAAGTGAGGCGCCTCAAGAGATGGGTTGGGAGGTAACCATGTGGAAGGAGGAGGTGAAGCACCAGCGTAATGAGCAGAATGCCTTCCAAGTTTAACCACCTTTCTCCGTTCTCTCTCAAACCATCAGCCAGCAAACAAATCCATGCATCAGTCAATCCCCGAGTCATCATCCGACTGCCGTGCAGCAATGTCCTCTGCTCGCCGCGCATCCAACCAACCAACCAACCACCCACCCATCCTACGAGCCAACCACCAACCAATCAGTCAGTCAATCCCCGAGTCATCATCCGACTGCCGTGCAGCCATGTCCTCTGCTCGCCGCGCATCCCCCGCTTTCCTCCTCACGCGCCCCTTCACCTTCCGCCTCTGCCCCTCCACACTATCCTCCTCGTCCGGAGAATACCCCCCCACCTCCTCCCCTGCTGCACTCGCCCCCCCCTCCCTCTCCGATCCCTCCTCCCCCACACTCGCCCTCCCTGCACCTGCCAAACCAGCCGCTTTAGCACCCATACCCTGTGCTCTAACACCCCCCACTAACCCACCTCCTCCTCCTCCGTCTCCTCCCCCTCCTCCCCCCCCTCCGCCTCCGCCTCCCCCACTTTCGCCTCCCCCTGATGATCCTTCTCCGCTTTCTCCTCCCCCTCCGCCTCTGCCCCTCTCCGCCCCTCCCCTTCCCCCAGCGCCTGCTCCCCCAGTCCCTCTCCCCCCGCGCCTGCGCCTGCCCCTGCTCCCCCCGCTGCTCCCCCAACTCTCCCCCCCGCTCCGCCCATGCCTCCACCTTCCTGCCTTCCCGGCCTGGCCGCAGTCCCCCCTACAGCCCGTCCCGTTATAGTCACACCCCCCCCAGCAGCACCCCCACCACCGGTCCCCGCACCAGCAGAGGCACCAGCCGAACCAGCAGCAGCAGCGGCAGCGGCAGCGGCAGCAGCAGCAGCTTCCCCGGACCTGGTCTGCCAGTCCGGGGCCATCCAGAGCTCCCGGCGCGAGCTCGGAGCTCCGGGATAGTCGCTGTCCGAGCCTGAAGTATAGGTCCGGTCGTCCGCTGCAAACGCAGCGTCTCTCCACGCCGCAGCAGAAAGCCCTCCCCCAGGTCCCATCTCCCTGCTCCCCACCGATGCCGTACCATCCTCTGCCGCTGCTGACGAGCTATCCCCGTCCCCGTCGCCATCCCCATGCTTATCCGTCCTTCCCGCCGCCATTCCCGTTGGATTCAGGGCCGCGGTGGGATTCCCGTTGTGAGACGCGGCCAGCCCTTCCCTGTGTGCGGGCGGCTGTGCTCTGCTGCTGCTGTGCGATGCGTTGTGAAGCAGGAGAGAGGAAGCGGTGAGCCCGTTACTCGCAGCACCAGTGGACGGGGAAGCACCGCTGCTGCTGCTGCTGCTGCTGGTGCCAGCACCAGGAGTACCCGCGGCGGCGGCGGCAGCGCTAGCAGAAGCAGCAGCGGCGGCCGCGGCGGCGGATCTCTCGTCCCCACCACCGACACCGCCTCCTCCCCTTCCGCCGGCTTCCCCGCCCGCCTGCGCCGCATGCGCGCCTCCATCCCCCGCGCCCACGTGGCGCCAGCGCGGGCTGCGCGTGGCAGGCGCGCGGAAACCCCCGTTCGCATGCGCCATTGCGCGCGTGTGGACTTGCGCCAACGGCTGCACAGACGCGCGGGATTGCGGGTGCGAGTGCCCGTACCCGTGCCCGTGCGCGTGCGTGTGCCCCTGCGCGTTGGCGGAAGGCGGAGCTTGCAACTGGCCCGCGGATCCACCCGCGACGCCCACCGATGCTGCGCCTGCCTCCGCCTCGACCCCTCCCCCATTCCCCACGATCTCCGCCCCGCCTCCCGCACTCGCCCCGACACCCGCTCCGCCATCCTCCCGCTCCTCTTCCGCAATCCGCCGCATTCCTACTCCGCCTGCTCCCGCGTTCCCCTGCTCTCGGCGCGCCGCCATGCGCATCGACCGCGCCCGCGCGGACCCGCCGTGCCGCGCGGACGACGCCTGCGACGATTGCGCGGAACCCGCGGAACCTGCTGCGCCGGCTCCCGCTATGGCCGCCACAGCCGCTGCCGCCGCCGACTCGACGTCCAGGCGTCCGCTGCGCCCGCTGGACCCCGCGGCGGCGGGGAAGCTTGCGCCGCCTGCGCCGCGCTTGTAGTGCGCGGACGCGTAGTGCCCCCCGCGCTTCCCGCAGGGCCCCGCGCCCGCTTTAACATCCGCCTCGTCGGATGCAAAGCCGTCGGAATAGGAATACGAGTGGGAGTGACCCATACGGGCAGAGGACGAACAGGGAGAGGCGGGTTCTGAGTCGCCATCGTCGTCGTCGTCGTCGCCGCCGTGCTGTGCGACGTCGCCTGTTACCTCCCGCGCAGGATTACCCTCTCCGCCTGCCCCGTTTGTCGTTTTCTGCTTGTCATTGACTCCGTTGACCGCGGTGGACTCCGAGAGACCTTGGGGGGAAGGCGAGGTGCTATCTGGTGAGGCGATAGCGAGTCCTGCGACAGCGGCGGCGACGGTTGTCGTCGCAAGCGCGCCGTCGACGTTCGGAGGCTCTGTGCTCGACGACATAGGCGTAAGGTGGTTACCCGATGGAAAGGTTGGAGAGATGGAGAGCCTAACGTATGGAGAACTTCGAAACTAACAAGCAATGAGAAAGGAATAAATTGGTGGGGACGAGGCGAGCGATTTTCTCAAGGGAGAGGCTAAGGAGTGGACAGATGGGAAACGGAAAGTGGTGAAAGGTTTGTTTGACAGACTTCAGGGCCTAGGGAATTCCAGACGCTGACACATCATCAGAACTGTCAAGCGGTTTGCGGAACGGTGCAGCAGGGTGAATATTGTCATTGGGAACAGTGGCCCAACAAAGCCGAGAAAACCTAGGGAGGGTGGAAGGGGAACTGGGAAAACCGAGGGTGTTTCGCCCAGCCCAAGCCGGCTGACCTCCAGGCTCGGGTTTCCACGCTCGGTTCCAAATTTCCTAGGGTTCCGGGCCTGTTTTGCCATAGAAAACGGTCTGGTAGAAGGGCGTGGAACATTTTTACGACCGTGCCCCGTGTCGACCATGGGGTTGGCTCTGGCGAATGCGAAGGGTGTAACAGTTTTGCGATGGATGCGAGATTTCTAAGCTTTCTGTTCTACTAAAACCACCCTCACAAAGCAAAAACATATGATCCCAGTTTAAGCATTCGAAAGGGTGCGGGATATCGGAAGGAATGTTTTGCACAAATGAGTCAAGTGTTAGCCATATTTTATATGTTTTTTTTTTAATATTTTTTAGATGCAACACATCCTGAGTAGAATTGGAGGTCAAACATTGCCCCATTTAGTGGATAGTGAAAGTCGAGTCCCCAACAGACTTACGGAAAACGCCATTGAGTTTTTGTCAAGTCAGGGTGACTAGTCTGCAGACGAGTCAATGGGGTTTCCCGAAATTTATCGCGATCGCCAGAAGCAACCACACATCCGACCATTCCGCGTGGTCGTAAAAATGTTCCACGCCCTAAGAGGTTACAACAACGCACGAATCACTCGATGTTGGCTCAGCGAAAGAGAAGTTTACGAGGGTGCGACGGCGACAGCTCTGACACGATTTTCAAACCATCCTTGCTTCATAGGACTTCCGAACAAGAAGGTCAGATCATAAAAATTGACCCATCGTCTCTGCTCTGCTTGTTCGCTTCATTTTCCCTGCTCCAAATCACTTTGGGGTAATGGAAATCTGAGGACGCGGCACATGTTCAGGATCGAGGGAGATTCGATGTCTGTACACCGATTCTCCCACATGGATAGGCACACCGATGTGCACACACCGCAAATTTGCAGTGTGGTAAACACGCCGAGCCTTGGGTGCCAGGGTCGAAATTGCTGGGTCGGGCAGGTAGGTTCCGCAGCGGAATACACTAACGTTTGTGTCGTTAACCATTCAGAGCGAGGAACAAGCTGTCGTTATCCAATCATTATTTGTCTGCGACCGTAGGCGACGCCGATCGATCGCGTCTGTCACCTGTGGCGCAATGTGCTCTCCCGCCATCCCAAATGCACGATCGATGTGTGCACCATGGCACATCGATCGTGCGAGCTGCAGGTGCCACCATTTTGGGTACTCTTTTACTGTATATTCTCAAGGTTCAGCGAAAAAGGATACCAGGCATTTGCGAAATCGCCAAATCACTGTACAAGCGGCACATCGATCCCCACCCACGATCGATCGTGGCAAAATAAAAACAGGTGCCGCGTCCTGAAAACACTCCACGGGCATCAGTGTAAGCGCGGATTCCCTCCACCTCTGTCCCGATTCTGTAGGGCAGCGGGAGGAATTTTGGTAGGTCCACTGTTTGGCTGAGTCGACGACAAACCGCCACTCTCAAAGTGCCAGGTGGCACTGCAACCACGTCAACAGCTCTGGTTACAAGTCAGCCGCACCATTCGAAGATGCAGCATTCATGCAATCCAGCAGTACATTGAAGTACAGTGTTGGATAGTGTCGGAAATTCGATAGCGATAAAATTTTCTGTTCCACAGGGAAATTCGCCCTTATCGAACATGTTCGTTTTTTACGAACCCCCACCCCCAACCCCGCCTGAACCCCTCTCCATATTTTTTTCCTAAAATCGCGATCACGACACCAAACACGCGCTCGCATGCCAGCGCCTCTTACGGTCTGCTTCATGCCAGTTGGCTAGGCAGGACATGCTGCGTCTAGCGTGGTGCTCAACGGCGGATGCAGCAGCTTCCGCGAAGCTCGCGGCAGCAGCAGTAGCGCGTCAGTCACAGAAACGACCGTTCACCGTTAAAGCCCCGTCGCGCACCATGATCCCTTCCGTCCCGCTCTCCGCGTCGCCCTCCGCATCTCCCTCCGCTTTAACCGCACGCTTTAGCGCGCGTCCGTCGTGTTGCGCTTATTACCCTCAGTCTAGTTACCCTTACCCTCGGGATAATTACCCTCGCGCGTACACCCGGGGGCCTTCTGCACTTAACCAGCTCCACACCCAGCCGTTGCCGAACTGGTACACGCACCCACCTTTTAACAGTCACCCGGCAGCGTCACATTCGCTACTGTCACCCTCGCTCGGCACGTTGCTTCATGACCCCAGGAGCTACCTCCCGTTTCTATCACATTCGCTGTCGCGGAGGCACACGGGAGGGCCCCGAGCAGAGCGGGGAGGGGAATCGCGGGGATGGGGGGAGGATCGGCGGAGAGGCAGGGCGGAAGACCGGCGCGGTTGGGGGGAGAGTCGTGGTTCCGCGCGAGAGGGGGAGCGCGCATGGGGGGACGATCCGCGGAGCCGCCACCAGCCTTATGAGAATCCCCAAAGGCGCGGGAGCGCCGACGGCGGCAGGCGAACCCCGCCGGCCTATCGCGAGGAAGCGCGGCGGCCTGTATCGGAGATGGATCTCGACGAGCGCGGCGTCGGGCGCGGCAACCACTCGTTTTTTGCCACGTGTGCGCCGGGGCTGGAGGCGGTGGTGGCGGAGGAGCTCGAGTCGCGGCTGATCGGCGCGTGGGACGTGGTTCCGGGAAAAGCGGGCGTGGCGTTTCAAGGCTCGACGGAAACGGCGTACAGGTGAGAGAGGGGGTGAGAGAGTGAGTGAGGGAGGGAGTGAGGGGCTGAGAGAGTGACCACGTGAGGGTGTGGGTGAAGTAAGTGGGTAAGGGATGAAGCAAAGTGTTCACTGTTTTCGCAGGGCTAAGGGATTGTGCGCCGATACTTACTGTGGTGCAGGGCTCAGGGTTTAAGGTTTTGCAACAACTGGAGTCCTGAATTTGGCGCGCTTGATACCCCCTTCCATTCCATGTTTCTGCATTTTTTGGCTCAAACTTCTACCCCTCCTCCTTTCCCGCTTTCATCCCTCCCCACGTCCTTCCCCCTTGCCCCCCTTGCCCCCCTTGCCCCCCTGCCCTTCTTCCCCCCATTCCCCCTCCTCCCGTCCCCCGCGCGGCATGCGTCACGCGCAGGGCGAACCTGTGGCTGCGCTGCGCGGTGCGCGTGCTGCACCAGGTGGCAGCGTGCGACCTGCGCTCGCCCAGTTCAATCCCTCCCTTTCTCTCTCCCTCCCTTCAAGCCTCCCCTTTTTTGCCCCCTTTTACCCCCCCTTTTCCCCTCCCCCACGCGCGCAGAGCGAACCTGTGGCTGCGCTGCGCGGTGCGCGTGCTGCACCAGGTAGCCGTGTGCGACCTGCGCTCGCGCTACGGCCGCGCGGACGCGCACGCGCTCTACCGCTTCACACGCGCCGCTGCGGATTGGCCGAGCCTCATCGCCGGCCCGGGGGAGATCGAGATCGAGATCGAGACAGCAAGGGGAGGTAGTAGGAGCAGGGGGGGAGAGGCGAGGGGCGCGCGGGGAGGGGCGAGGAGAGATGGAGGGGGAGCAGCAGGAAGGGCGGCAGAGGCAGCAGAAGGGGGAGGAGGCGGCGGAGCAAGCGGGTTCAGGCGCAAGCCAGTGACGTTTTCCGTGCAGAGCCGCGTGTGGGACTGCCCGGAAATCCGCACGTCTCAGCTGGCCTCCACGCGCGCTAAAGACGCCATTTGCGACGCCATGCGGGACGCTTATAACGGGTACAAGCCCCCGGACCCGAGAGACTTGGCGGACCCTACCGAGTCAAGCGAGTCAAGGGAGTCAACAGCCGAGCTGCCACTGTTCCTGTCGTTATACCGGGACAGGGCGGTCTTATATCGAGACATGAGTGGGCGGAGCCTGCACAAGCGCGGGTACCGAGATGCTATGCATAAAGCGAGTTTAAATGAGGGTGTTGCAGCGGGTGTGCTGATGCTGGCTGGGTGGCAGCAGGTGGCGTGGATTGGGGAGGGGGAGGGGGGAGAGGGAGGAGGGGCGAGGGGACGGGAGAGGGGAGAGGAGCGGGGAGCGGAAAGAAGAGGGGAGATGGGAGGAGGGAGGAGAAGAGGAGGGGAGGAGGAAGCTGAAGTGGCGGAGGAGACGGGTAGAGATTCAAGCGCTTCAAATGCACAGGTTTCAGGAGCAGTGGCACCATCACGAGAACCAACAGTACCAGCAGTATCAGCAGCAGCAACACCAGTACCATTGTCCATCGCCCTGGTAGACCCCATGTGTGGCAGTGGCACTCTCCTCATAGAAGCAGCTCTCATTGCCTGCCGCATTGCTCCCGGCTCCTTCCGCTCCTCCTCCCAACATCCCTCCCCTTCCTCCTTCCCCTCCTCCGCTCCCTCCTCTCACCCCTCCTCCTCTCACCCCTCCTCCTCTCGCCCCTCCTCCTCTCGCCCCTCCTCCTCCTCCTCCTACTCCTCCTCCGCCTTCTCCTGGCCCTTCCACACGTGGCACGACTTTGACGCCGCCACGTGGCGCGCCGTGATTCGCGAGGCCGAGTCGCTCCGCCGCCCCTCTCCTCCCCCGGGGGTATCCTTCCACGGCAACGATATCCACGAGGGCGCGCTGGCGCTCTGCCGGCGCGACGCTGACAGGGCGGGCGTGGGCCGCTGGATCCAGCTCAGCAGGGGCGACTGCGAGGAGTACGTGCCAGCTGTCGCGCCCTCGTTGGTCGTTGTGAACCCGCCATGGGGCACGAGGCTGGGGGAAACAAGGTGAGGCGTTTTTTTTTATTATTATTATTATTTTTAAGTGATTTTTAGAGCAAACGACTGGCTGACACATGGCACTTTTTCTGTATCCTCCAATTTCCTGCACAGTTCCCCCTGCTTCCCCCCTCTGTCCGTTTCCCTTACATCTCCACTACCCTTCTTGCCCCATCACCCTGTTGTTCCTCACCTCTCTCAGCGGAGAGGAGGGCCAATGGCTGGCTGACACGTGGCACCGCCTGGGTGTGTTCCTGCGCCGGCAGTGCCGGGGAGCAGAGGCGTTTGTGCTGAGCGGTAACCCTGCTGTGACACAGAAGCTGTTTCTGAAGATGTCGCAGCGGTGGGCTGTGACTGTGGGAGGGATTGAATGCCGCGTGCTTCGATACGTCATGCTGCCACCCGCACCAGCAGCAGCAGCAGCAGCAGCACCAGCAGCAGCACCAGCAGCAGCAGCACCAGCATTAGCAGAAGCAGAAAAAGGAGAGCGAGAAGGGGAGAAAGAGGTGGAGTTGACAGATGCAGATAGGAGGGGCTAGGAGGTAGCAGGAGGAGCAGTGGAACCAGCAGTGTCGAGGAACCAGCAGTGCAGAGGAACCAGCAGTGCCGAGGAGCAGAGGCTTCTGTGCTGAGCGGTAACCCTGCGGTAACACAGAAGCTGTTTCTCAAGATGTCGCAGCGGTGGGCTGTGACGGTGGGGTTCCGCGTGCTTCGGTACCGGTATGTCATGCTGCCACCCGCACCAACAGCACCCGCACCAGCTCCAGCACCAGAAGCACCACCAGCATTAGCAGAAGCAGCAAAAGGAGAGCGAGAAGGGGAGAGAGAGGTGTAGTTGACAGATGTGGAGCGGAGAGGGTAGGAGGAGGTAGGAGTAGTTAGAAGTTAGGAGGGCTGCAGGGGGATTTAGGCAGAGAGGTGGCATTGGGAGGTTCTGAAGAGAGCCTAGTGCTAGCCGCAATGAAAATGAAGGTGTTACCATAGGATAAGGGTACACATATTAATTAGGTTGTTTCATTCCACCATCCAACAATATGTTACAGAAGCTTCTCGCATCTCCACCAAACATTTAGTTACCGATCTCGCCGAAGCCTCGCACGCAGCCACGTCGGCTCCAATCGCAACCCTGTTTTGTCGCACACACGAACCTCCGTCTCCGCGTCGCAGCACCGCTTGTTTCGCAACTCGTCCATCGCCTCCGCTCTTCTCAGTTCGCAAATTCGCAATCCCTCCGTTTCCATTTCGTCAGGATTCCTTCTTACCCAAAATTCTTCTGCCTGGGAAGGGAAAGTTCTCCTCGCCACGCCACTCACTAGTCACATCACTCCTTCCTTCCACTCACTCTCACTCTCTTACTCTCTCACTCAATCACTCTCTCACCCGTTACTTCCTTCATCCAGGCAGCATGGCGCTCTGCGTCTCGTGCCCCTCCGCGGACATTCTCTGCCCATGCGCCCGCCCGCAAGCGAATGCCTCCCCCGCCGGCGCATCCCGCTTGCGCTGCCCCTTCCGCGCGCCACCAGTCGCCGCTCTCCCCGCTTCTTCCGCCTTCCTGACGCGCGTTCCGCTGCGCAGCGGCAGGTTGACACGTGTCGACTCCACCTCCCGCCACGTATCCAAGCGCGCGGTAACTCCGCGCGCCACCGCGGAGGGAAGCGGGGGGAAGCCGCCGGGAGCGGGCGACGGCGAGACGTTCCTAGGAGTGTACGGGCCGTGGAAAATAGAAGACTCGGACCGCACTGAGGTAATTAACTACTAGTCAACAGTTAACTATTAGCAACTGCTGTAGGCTTCTATTAGCCAGACAACTGCCACCTCCCCCCTCCACCTCCGTACTTCTCCGTACTTCTCCGTACTTCTCCGTACTTCTCCGTACTTCTCCGTACTTCTCCGTACTTCTCCGTACTTCTCCGTACTTCTCCGTACTTCTCCGTACTTCTCCTTGCTTATCCTTAATTTCCCCCAACCAAGATTCCCCCCGATTGCTCCCATTTCCCTCTCCTCTCCTTCCCCACCTTCCCCGCTCACCTCCCCTTCCGCTTCCCAATCCCCCCCCCCGGTTCCGATTCGCCTTCTTCCTCCCACCCCCCTGCCTCTCCTCCTTTTCAGTTGTTCCTCCCCTTTGCCTCCCGTGACACATCCACCTCTTCCCCCCCTCCCCCCTCCCCCCTCACCTCCCGCAGGTGTTCCTATACCGAGCAGGCCTCGTCACAGCATCCCTCTCCTTCCTCCTAGCAGCCTCCTCCGCTTTCCTCCCCCCAGACTCCCCCCTCCTCCCCCTCTTCCTCCCCGCCCTCGACCCCCTATTTGCACTCGGCGTCGCCGGTCTAGGGACGTCCTTATTCCTAATCCACATCTACGTAACGCAAATTAAGAGGGCGCTGCAGCTGCTGTGGCTGGTGGGGTGGTGGGGGCGGTGGCGCTAGCGGGGGGTATGCGGGGAGGGAGGGCGTGGGGGTGGTGGAGTATGTGGTGGGGCATGGCGGAGGGGTGTGGGCTGTGGGGCCGCTGTTTGCTGCTCTCACTGGCCTGGTGTTCAAGGAAGGTGCGTGGTTGTGGAGTAAGGAAGGTAGCTTGACTAGCGTTGATTTCCCTCGGAGTGCATGCATGCTCCCATGCGCCCATGCATGCTTGCACCATGCGCCCATGCATGCAAGCTCCCATGCGGTGGTGCTAGCGAGGGTTATGCGGGGAGGGAGGGCGTGGGGGTGGTGGAGTATGTGGTGGGGCATGGCGGGGGGGTGTGGGCTGTGGGGCCGCTCTTTGCAGCTCTCGCTGGCTTGGTGTTTAAGGAAGTTGCGTTTTGAGTCAACTCAGGAGTCACCGCTGTTTGCTGCCCTCACTGGCTTGGTGTTCAAAGAAGGTGCGCAGACCCATGCTCCCGCAATGCACCCCCATGCGCCCTTCCCCCTCCTGTGTCCATGCACACCCATGCACACCCATGCACACCCATGCACACCCATGCACCTATGCACACCCATCCACACCCATGCACCCACATCATTTCTTGTGTTGCCATGCATGTGTGTCCTCTACGCCATGTCTCTCCCATATCCCTCTCTCTCTCATATCCCTGTCTATCTCTCCTGTGTTCCCTGTCTAATCTCTCCGCCCTGCCTCTCCGCCCTGCCTCTCCGCCCTGTCTCTCCGCCATGCCTCTCTCTCCTGCCCTGCCAGGCCTGTGCTACGGCAAGCTAGAGGCGGCGCTACTGGTCTTTGTCATCCCCACTCTGCTGCTGGGCCACCTTGTAAGACGGACAGCAGGCCTCGCACGCACTCAGTTCCAAATTGTCTCAGGCCTCTCTTTCTCCCCCCTCTCCCCCTGTCTCTCCTGCCCTGCCAGGCTTGTGCTACGGCAAGCTAGAGGCGGCGCTACTTGTCTTTGTCATCCCCACTCTGCTACTGGGCCACCTAGTAAGCCAGCAGACTTCGCATCGCATCGCATCACACACACACACACACACACACACACACACGTACACACACACACACACACACACACGCACACACACACACGCACACACACACACACACGCACACACACACACGCACACACACACACACACACGCACACACACACACGCACACACACACACACACACACGCACGCACACACACACACACACACGCACGCACACACGCACGCACGCACGCACGCACGCACGCACGCACGCACGCACGCGCGCGCGCGCACACACACACACACACACACACACATGCATGCACCACACTGTCTTAGGTGCTGCATTCGTGAAATTCACCGCAAGCGAGTGTATTCGTGAAAGTCACCGCAAGCAAGTGTATTCGTGAAAGTCACCGCAAGCGAGTGTATTCGTGAAAGTCACCGCAAGCGAGTGTATTCGTGAAAGTCACCGCAAGCGAGTGTATTCGTGAAAGTTACCGCAGGCGAGTGTATTCGTGAAAGTCACAGCAAGCGAGTGAATTCGTGAAAGTCACCGCAAGCGAGTGTATTCGTGAAAGTCACCGCAAGCGAGTGTATTCGTGAAAGTCACCGCAAGCGAGTGTATTCGTGAAAGTTACCGCAGGCGAGTGTGATCATGAAAGTGAAAGTCACCGCGCAAGGCTTTTCGGGTGGTAGAACCACGACAATTGACACCTTTACAGACCTCCCGCATTGTTGCTGGCAACGGTTCCGTCACTTAGAAGGTTTTGCTTTTGAGAATTCTCATGATTTCTAATCATCTGACTCCGTCCTCCTTTCTTCCGTTTTGTTTCCCTTGTTCACCCCTTCACCTTCCAGTCCCCCATGACCGTTTTCTGCCCTGGTCCCTCGTCATTTTTCCCTCTTCCTCTTTCCCTCTCCGCTCCTTCTCTCCCTCTTTCCCGCGCCCACCATCCCTCGTTTAAATCCCTCTCCCCCCTCCCAAAGAGTGGTCTCTTGGACGTGACAGTTGAGAAGGGTCTCCTTACCGTGTGGATAGCGGCCTTTGTTGAATCTGTTCTTTATGCCTTCGTCCCTGCTCTCCCCATGCTCTCACTCCCTACGCCACCTCTTCCTCTCCCCTTGTCACCCCTTCCTAAAGAGTGGGCTCATGGACGTGACAGTGGAGAAGGGACTCCTTGCCGTGTGGATGACGCTATTTGCTAACCCTGTTCCCGATGCTCCCTCTGCTGCTCTCCCTCTGCTGCTCTCCCTTTGCCTTCTCTCCCCTCTTCCCCCCGTCCCCCCTCCCAAAGAGTGGTCTCATGGACGTGACAGTGGAGAAGGGACTCCTTGCCGTGTGGATGGCGCTATTTGCTGTCTTTGCTGCTCGCAAGTTTACCCAACCCATCAAGGTATCAAAAATATGTCTCAGCTCATCAGGGTATCGAAACTATGTCTCAACTCATCAAGGTATCAAATTGGCTCAACCCATCAAGGTATCGTGAAACCCGTTTCGCCAGGGCTTCAAGATTTGTGTGTGTGCACATGTGTGTGTCTGAATCTCTGTGTATTTCCATGTACCTATGTGTGTCTACGTGCATGTGTGCAAACACGTGCGAATGTGCATGTGCATGCAGGATGACATTGGAGACAAGAGTGTATTCATCTTCCAGGCCTTGCCGGAGCAGCAGCAGCAGGAGCTACTTGCACGTCTCAACATGCAGAACCGGGACTCTGAATAACTCCCCTCCCCTTGCAAACTATAGTCGTCGCAGCAGCGTCAGAAGCTGCTGGATGCGCCAAAACGCATACCAGGGGCGGCGAATGAATATTCTCGCGAAGATTAAATACAATGAAATTGGTATCTATTGTGACGCAAAAGCTGTTCGGGCATCCCAATGCAGGGGCTCCCAGGCCCATGATTAAATGCAATGGAACAGCCCCTCCACAGTTTCAACTGACCCCTAGGAAAGGCATGTTCTTTCTACAGTACCTCGCTACTGTACGGTAATTCATGTAATGTCAAAGTCGTTTTCAATGGTGCGGGGCTGTGGGAGGACGGACAATGTGGTGTAGGTGGTGAAAGTTAGCACTACTAAGCACGTGCACATCTGGAAAACATCCACTGATTTACGATATCCTTTTCCTAACTCGCAACTGTCATACACCTACAGAAAGACCTCCAAAAAAAATGCTTCACAGGTTCCCTTGACAACCAACTTACCCTCCCTCCCCAGCCTTCCTACATCATTCACACTAAGCACCCCGCTCCAGGACGTATCAGAGTGTTTATCAGGACCGTCAGTCCTGCTGCAGTCGCACACGGTATTATTATTCTAGCAGGGGAAGAAGGATAGGAAAAAAAGAGAAAAAATACTACACTTCTTGACCTGCGCAGCAATAGCCCTGTCCATCCTTGCTGCTGCAGCTGTTGCTGCTGCTTTTACTGCTGCATCTGCGGCTGATGATGGATGGGTCTGATTCTCAGCTAGACGCATCCAAACTAGTGCTACACGACCAGGCCAGTGCGCATGTGTGAGAGCGAGGGAAGGCGTGTGCAAGTGAGCGGAATAGGGTAGAGGAAGGGGGGGGGGAGGGCTGGAGAGAGGGAGAAGAGATGGATACGAGTGATAATGAACGAGGTAGTATGAGGAGGCAAGGAGAATAAAATGGTAAGGAAATGAGGAGAAGAATGCGGCACAGGAGGAAGTCCAATGTCCATCCGAGTGAGCACGATCTAGCAGTCAGCACTTGGACTGAACCCCCTGCATGTGCTCGGAGGAAGCTGCTCAGAGCAAGCTTCGCAGCGTAACCCAGTGCCACACATGCGCGCTCGCGTGGACATGCGCAAGCTTCTATAGGTTGGCAGCAACAGCAGCGGCAGCAGCAGCAGCAGGAGAAGCGTCTAGTGGGCGGCTGCGCCGTCCTGCACGTGCAGGAAGCGCACGACAACGCAGGTGATGTTATCGGCACTGCCGCGGCGGTACGCCTCCTGTGTGAGGAACTTGGCCGCTTCCTCCGCGTCCAGCGTCTGCTGCACCATGTTTATCGCGTCCTGCAGAGCCGCGGGCGGAAGGAGAAGAGGGGAGAGAGCGGGGACGGGGGGGAGAGGGCGGAACGGCGGGAGAGGGGGAGCGGAGGGCGCGCGGAGTGGGGGGGGGAGAGGAGAGGGGTGGAGACGAGGGGTTGAAAGGTGGACATGGGACAAGGGAGAGCGGGGACGGAGGGACAGAGGGACTAAGACTTGCACGGTTAAAGCAAAGGACCAGATGGGAAGGATAGGATTCAGTGAACGAAAGATGTATGGGTGTTCAGCAGTGGTGGAATAATGGGTGGGAGGGAGGGGAGGGGAGTGGTGGAGGAGAGGGAGTGAGGAGAGGGGAATGGGGAAGGGGAGTAGGGGAGGGGAGTGGGGAAGGGGAGTGGAGAAGGGGAGTGGAGGAGGGGTGTGGGAACGGGGAGTGGGGGAGGGGAGAGGGCAAGGGAGTGGGGAAGGGAGTGGGGGAAGGGGAGTGGGGCACTGGCACTGGCACTGGCACTGGCACTGGCACTGGCACTGGCACTGGCAGTGGCACTAGCAGTGGCACTAGCAGTGGCACTAGCAGTGGCACTAGCAGTGGCACTGGCAGTGGCACTGGCAGTGGCACTGGCAGTGGCACTGACCTGATCCTTGACGACATCCCAGAGGCCGTCACTGGCCAGCACAAGGAACTCGTCCTCCGGTGTCACATCGTACTCCTGCGCGCGCAGGGGGCGAACGAGAGCGAACGCGGGGGCAGTGCGTGGTGGGGTGGTGGCGGGGGAGGATGTGTGAGAGAAGAGAACATGAGAGAAGCGAAGGCGTACGTGGGGTGGGATAGCGCGGGAGGGAATGTAGAGAGGTGCGGGGAAATAGGGAGGGACGGAACAGGACGCAGGTGCATAAGAGCACAAGAAACGCTGTGACGAAAGAGCATAGGTAAGTACGCAGAGAACACAGAGAGACGATAGGATGAACCTGATGTGTGCACACCTCAATTTCAGGCTCCGCCACAACGTATCGTTTGAGTAGCTTGTCTCCGAACGCACGAGAGACGGCAAGAACGCCACCCACTCGCCACGTTCCTGCGAAGAGCAAGACAGTCCGTGCGTGCATGAATACGCGGGCAGGGGTTTACACGCACGCCGGACGGACGCGCAGGCGGGAAGGCAAGATACGTGGACAGATAGATACCTAAGGTTGCAAGGAGGCCAGTCACGGAGCAACACAGCTAGTGCGGAAAGAAGGCAACACATTACGCCAGCATCACGCACGTCTACCACCACACTTTCACGTGGAGAAGTCTGAGAGGACTCTAGGGCTTTCCTAGTTCGGCGCCGTGAGGGCGCTGTTTGGCCTAGCTCGATGCAGAATCCAAGCACATCGTACTATTTTTGAGTTGGCTAAGAGGGTCTACTTAACAAACATGGCCGAGATTGTACAGACGCACTTGCACGAAGAGTGAAGCGGGAAAGAGGTGTGCGACGGCGAGAAGAGCCAAGATGAAAGCGCGCGTAGTGACATTGTGCGACAGGAGGCTCACCTGCCCACATGACGGAGCCACCAGCTTGTTCGATTCGCTCCTTCTCGTCCACCCGGTTTGGCTTGTGATCCTTCGAGAGTGGAGTTGCTGTAAACGAACGTGGTGTACATCGTAATGCAGAACAAAGTATGATACCGAGGGAAGCGGTTAACAATAGAGGGTCTTCAACGACCTGATTCGTTGATAATTAGACCATAAAACATGCTGAAAAGCCAACGGCAAGTGTTTCCGCCAAAAGAAATACGAGCGGGAGGCATGCCAAAGACATGCGTATGGTGCGACAGACGAGGGACCATCGCAGATGGGAAAAAAGGAGCATGCGACGAGAAAGCGCAAGAGCAATCGACACACGAGTACATCAAGACGCGAGCACAGCGGCACGTTCACGGACATACCTTGACCCTTTCTGCAAACGACTGTCCTGGAGTCACCGACATTGGCAACCAGGAGCTTCTTGCCCATCAACACTGCCGTCGACGCCGTGCTTCCCGCATCGCGGTTCTGCCCGTTGTCCGTGCTCAGGTACGCGTCGTCCGTCCGCTTAAATGTCTCCGCTGCCAGGGATCGGATTACAAGAATTGGGAAGCAGCAGCAGCAGCAGCAGCAGCAGCAGCAGCGGTAGCCAGCAGAAGAAGGAAAAAAAAAGCGTGATTGGACGAGAAATAACTCAAACATGTGGAGGAAAAATGTGAAATCAAATGAAGGTGGGTGGAGGCGCGGAAAAGGGAGATTGGAAGCCGGAAGAAGAGGCTAAAAAGTTTCCCTAAACTTACAGATTGCTTGCTTAACATTGGTGGCGAATTCTGGATGGTCAATCAGGTTCTTGAACAAATGCTCTTTCACGTACTCCGCTGCCCGAGAACCGCCATGGCCTGAGGAGGAGAACGAGATGGATGGGACGGCAAGCAGGTGAATTGGCGAACACTCCGCAAGAGCACGTACATCGGGTTATCAAGAGCGCAGCATCCGTCACCCTCACTCGCGCCATCTCTAGTCACAACAAGCAGCTGGTACTAACTCCGTAGACAGATCACTCGACGGGAACATGAGACACTGACTACACACTCACCGTCGAAGACACCGAACAGTCCAATAATTTGATCGCCGACCTTAGCTATCCGCGCATCCTGGAAATCTTCCATAAACAAACGCTTTCCGCGAAGTTGCGAAAAGCCAAAGCTGAAGGTTCCATCCTCGCTGTTTGATTAGGTGCACGCAGGTAGAAACAGCAGGAAGAAAAAAAGAGGGGATTTTCATGGTTGGGAATTTGTTTTGGCGAAGGAAAAACGTGAGAAAAACAAGGGAAAAAAAACAACACACACATTGAACACATGCCATGCCGCGAACAAGTTGAAAGGGCTGATGTTGACAAATGACTTTCCCAGGAATTCTTAACAGAAGACTTCACCCAACAGCAGGGAAAACAAAATCTAGTACTTCAACACGGACATTATATCTTGGAGGCAGATCTAGCATCGATTCTACGCATTGTCCAAAGTATGGTATGTACCATTGCAAGCAGTGGCATTCTGCGCCAAACTGCCAGCTTTCCACGATACAAAACTTATTTTTCCCTCATGCCGGACACTACAGTTGTAAACATTACTCCAATCTCGCAGTAGCTGTTGGCCTTCCTAAAAAATGTTCTGCCTTTGTCCAAAAAGTGCAAGCGCTTGAAACGACCGCAGAGAGCGCCATTTATTTCAGAGAGGCGCTAGCAGCACAGGCCTTAGTACGTTTTCATGCCAAATATCACATAATCCAACTACCTGGAATGGTATCAGTGACCCGAAACAAAAATGTACAACGACAAACGTTCCCCTTTTGGAACACACCGCCGATGGACCTGATACTCAAGAGGTGTAAGAACATACCTAGTCCCTCCACCAGTTGACGCAACTGATCCACCAGCCCCTTCCTTTGACGCCAGCACATTTTTCAAAGACTCCATTACGGGTATACCATGCAGACGTCAACAATGGCGTTGGACCTAACCCAAACTAGAAACGGACAAGGAAGCACGAGGCCTGCGCTTCAAGCTATCAGCAGTCGGTAGCAGAGATTCAGAAATTAGGAGGCAAAAAATGTCAGTAGAGGGAGATGGAGGTGGAAAGGCGAAACCCTAAACAGAAGGGGCTTTGATATCGTCACAGAGAGTGGCATCACTGGTATGGCAAGGA